ATTTATATTCCCACCAACAGCATATAAGCATCCCCTTTTCACCATATCTGCACCAACATCTTATTTTTTGACTTTTTAATAACAACCATTCTGGCTGGAGTAAGGTTGTATCTCACTGTGATTTTAATTTGCATTTCACTGATGCTTAGAGATGTTGAGCATTTTTTCATGTGTTTGCTAGTCATTTGTATACTTTTTTTGAAAAATGCCTGTTGATGTCATTTTCCCACGTTTTAATGGGATTACTTGTTTTTTTCTTGATGAGTTGTTTGAATTCTGTGTAGATTCTGGATGTTAGCCCTTTGTCAAATTCATAGTTTGCAAATATTTTCTCCCATTCTGCAGGTTGTCTGTTTACTCCCTTGATTATTTCTTTTGCTGTGCAGAACCTTTTTAGTTTAATTAAGTCCCGTTTATTTGCTATTGTTTTTGTTGCATTTGCTTTTTGGGATTTTAGTCATAAATTCTTTGCCTAGGCCAATGTCCAAAATAAATTTTCCTAGGTTTTCTTCAGAAATTTTTATGGTTTCATATCTTACGTTTAAGACTTTTTATGTATGTGGTGATAGATAGGGATCCAGTTTCATTGTTCATCATTTATTGAATAGGATATCCTTTCCCCGGTGTATGCTTTGTGTAGATCTTGAATTGGGGACATAGATAGCCTAAGTTTCTCATCAAAGAAGGAACGAAGGGAATAAATATCCTGATCTTTTTCTTCTCCTTTCTTCAGTTTATTAGTACTTTTTGTCTGGAAGCATCTTTAATACAGGGGCATGCGGCCTATTTGATAGAATTTATACAGGTCTTATGGAGTGGAGAACTGGGAAAAGCAGTGTAGAAAGTGAGTCTGGAGGGGGAAATGGAAGATATATGAAGTATTCTACTCCTTTTTTCTGATCTACCTCCAGTCTTGTCCTTCTTGTGAGTGACAAATGTGTGTTCCCAACATAGGAGAGGCACAAAATCCATCAGCTACTATGTCGTGTGTGATGTCTTTTCAGTAGCATTGTAATTTAAAACTAAAACATTAGTATTCTTCATATAAAATACTAGGAGATGGGTGAGGGAGAAAAGATGCAATTTAGACATATTAATTATAGCTGCTCCTTACTTCTAGTTCAGTGGTTTTCAACCTTCCTAATGCCGCGACCCTTTAATACAGTTCCTCATGTTATGGTGACCCCTACACACGAGGAGCGGTGTCTCGGTTCCTAAGACCATCGGAAATATGTGTTTTGTAATGGTCTTAGGCAACCCCTGTGAAAGGGGAAAGGGTGGTTCATCCCCCAAAGGGGTCATGACCTACAGGTTGAGAACCACTGTAGCTGGTCATGAGGCCTAAGCTGGTTGTTATAGGGCATCTTATACACTATACCTTCTATATTTACCTCATTGTCTGGCACCATCTTGACTGTATGGGTCTTTTTTTCACCTAGGACAATCCAAGCCTTCATTTTTGTAAGACCTGAGTCCTTGGTGCTCCTGTTTTTGTTAGTGGTAGTTGTTCTTCCTTGACCAGGACTCTTGAGAAGGGAGTACTAATAGGTATCCAGCTGAGTTCTAATCTTTGTCCTTGTCCTCATTCTGTAGCAGAATATCAATTTCCCCTGAATATTTGGTGCCATTTTCCTAGCTTTTATAGTGTCTTCCTTATCTATTTGTTGGTTTATGGCATAAAGAACCTCAAGTTGCCAGGGGTTTAGTCTCCATTTCCAATGAATCAGAAAATTACCATGTTTTTTGATAGAAGCATCACTTCCTTGGATGTTAGGGCTTTCAAACCCACCAAGCCCAAGGTTTTGGGGACCAGGAAATAAGAATTATTAGGTGGATTATTAGGTATGAAAATAAGATGGTGGCCAGGTATGGTGGCTTTTTCCTATAATCCCTGTACTTCGGGCAATTGAAGTAGGAGGATTGCTTGAGGCCAAGAGTTTGAGACTAGGGTAGGCAATATAGTGAGACCCTGTCTCTACATAAAATGAAATCTTAGCTGAGTGTGGTGATGTGTATTTGTAGCTACTCTGGAGGCTGAGGCACTAGGCTTTTCACTAGGGTGAGTCCCTTATGATGGCTGAGGATAGAAGTGACCTCAGATTTGAGCAAAAGTCAAACAGGGAAGCAAGCAAGCAAAGGACAATTGCAACAGCTAACAAAAATAAAAAAAGAGAGAGAGGAATAGTTACTGACTCAACTAGAGAAACCTGAAATGAATGCTCTCTCTCTCAGTAATTTAGTTCCAGTAAATTATAAAAGAAGTCTCTGAATGTTTGCCTACTTTGGTTTTTTCCAAAACTGTTAAAAATGTGTAACTTGTAACCTGCCCAACGTTGTCTTTGGGGATCTATGCTCATAGAGCTAATAGGAGACATAATAAATAGAGTCAATATTATCTGTACTTAGAGGTAAGAGAATCACACTTGATATATTAATTTAATTTCTTTTGCAGAATTAAGGGTGTTTGTATAGAGATTCTGTAGGTAATAGCAGCTAGTCAAGCTTGGTTTTGCAGTCTTTTTCCCTAAGCCATCATAAGTAAATAATGAAGTTATGAATATGTGATCAGGTAAACCAAATTGGAAGATGAAAACAACTGCTTTATTCAAAATAGTGTCATGAAACGTATCTTCACGTAAGATACACTTCACACTTTATGAAGTCTAGATCACTTCCTCGATGGCTCCTTTATTTTTCCTTCAGCTTCAGTACTTGCTTCCTGCTCTGGAGCATTTGTTACCCACGCCACACATTTGACATGTGATGTGTTACATAATCAAGTTACAATTATTTATAGTGTTGTGCAGTTAAGATACATCTATAAAGTAAAAAGACTACATTTTAAGATAATTTAGAATTCTTTTTATATAGATGAGATTTGCTTCTTTTTATTTATTTATTTATTTTTTTTTATTGAATGGTAACTATGTACATTAATGCACTTCTGGGGTACAGTGTGGGGTTTTCACATGCAGTCTGAAATACTTCCATCAAACTGGTCAACACAGCCTTCATGTCATTTTCTTAGTTATTGCTTTAAAATGGAGATTTGCTTCTTAAAATAAAAAGGATTAGACACATATTCCAACATTACTTAAATTATTTAGACGATATTTTTGACAGTAAGGGGAGTCTTCCTTATGTATTGCCTTCAGATCCGATTATGAACAAGACTCCCCTTTCCCTGTAAAAGCACAGTAGCAAAATATTGTTAATAAAAAAGCCCACTTACTTCCTTTACATCCCTGGTAAGTTCACTGATCTTTTTGTGCTTTAGTATCTTCAACAATAAAATGTTGATGACGGTAGTATAATTATTATAAATGAATTAAAGATCTGAAAGGCATAGCGCAGTGCCTAGCAGATCATAAAGACCATACGCCTTTGCTGTTGCTGTTTCTGCTACACCTATATCAACGATGATAGTGATGATGACTGCTGCTAATGGTTCCTCGCTCCTTTCATGTTAAATTTAAACGTTTATTTGCAATGATTTTTGGCTGTTCCTACAAACAAGAAACATCCCCAAAGATGCAGATTTACCACTAATGAAGCAGTGAAAAGATGCATTGCAAGATCTAAAGTCAGATCTAAAACTGTTGGTCCCCACAGTGTTCTGAGAAATGAAGTGATGTTGGAAAAAATGTAAAAAACTATTAGATGATTTCTCTGAAGGAAGCCCCTCTTTGTTGAATGCATATTACATGCTTTTTAAAAAAGTCAGCTTTGGGCTGGGCACAGTGGCTCACACCTGTAACCAGCACTCTGGGAGGCCAAGGGGAGTGGATCTGCTGAGCTCACTGCTGGGTTCATGACCAGCCTGAGCAAGAAAAAGACCCTGTCTTTAAAAATAGGCAGGAGTTGTAGCAGGCGAGAGGTTTGCCTTAGTCTAAGAGTTTGTGGTTGCTGTGAGATATGATGCCAGGGCACTGTATCTACAGTGACAGAGTGAGACTCTGTATCAAAAAAAAAAAAAAAAAAAA